ATATATATATATATATATATATATATATATTGTTATGTTATCTGCAGATCTATGTGTACAAACCACATGCATAAATATATCTAATCATACATATTTTCTGTATATAAATTGAAAGAAAAAAGTTAGTTAATAATATTATTTTAACAAATACTGCATGTACCTTATTGTATGTTACGTATGTGTTGTATTTATTACCTTTAACTGTTGTATGTGTAACAGTTATTGCCATGAGAGATGTATTATTGCTTTGTGTGTGCGTGTGTATGTTTGTTTGCGTACGTGTTTGCATGCGTGTGTATGTGTGTTATTTATTTTCTAAATGTTATTTAATCTATGTATTTTTGCTCGTTAAAGCTTCATTCGTTTCAGTAAATGAACAACTTTTCTTTCAAGTTTAATTTTTCACGTTTATATATTAAGTATGTAATGTATAAATTTTATAGATTTTTGTTTTCTAATCGATTAAAATGAAACTATTAAAGCTAATTTAATTAGCGGTTAATTAATTATATAATATTTGTTAACTAATTGATTGTTCGGTGGTTCATTTAAAATCTTTATTGCTATGAATAACTCTACAATGGTATCTAAAACAGAATTGTTATCATTCATTCATTATTATTATCATTATTATTTTAAAAACTTTTTAGTTTATTATTTCTTTATTTATTTCATTAATTCACAACAACAACAACAATATTAATAAATAATAGTAGTAGTATTTTTTGAAGTTAAGTTTTCGTTACTACCTATATAAATATATACTATATTATAAATTCATTCTTTTTTTTATTCTGTTTTTTTTCTTTAAGTTTGACACACACACTGGCACACACACGCACACGCGAACACACATACGAACACACACGGACACATATATTATTATTACTCATTATATTATACTATACTAACACTAGCCTTCACATCACAGTTGCTCAATTGTTCATTATTATTATTATTATTTATATATTTAATGATAATTATTTTTATTATTACCATTGTCGTTGTTATTATTATTATTCTGGTATTATGTAATATATTTAAATTGTAATGTTAAAAACGATAATGTAATTCTTACAAAATATTATACTATAACACGAATATATATATATCAAACATTTCTGCCAAAATTATTATGCTTTTGACTACTTGGTTGGACAGCTGTAAATTGAATTCAAAGTCACACATGCACACACACATACACGCACACATACATGCACGCACACACAAGGACAAAACACATACACACTAATAGAAAAACAGATACACACATATATGTGTATATATATACATATATACACATATGTGTGTATATATGTGTGTATATTTATACATTCATTTGCATGTGGTAATTTTATGTCGGAGCCAAAAATATATAAGTGCAATTATCTACATATATATATATATACATATTTATTTATTAATTTTTTTAGCATGCATTTAATAATCATTTTTGCGTTAACTTTTTACAAAATTTGTCGCTAATTACTAATATTATTATTGTTGTTATTTTTATTATTATGTAATTATTTTATTGAGATAGTGTAGATGCTTTATGTAGGGCACATAAGATTGATTAAATTCATACAAATTCTTTAGTTCCTGCATTAAAAATTTGGTAAGCATCGCATTTGTAAGCTTTCTGGATGTTAGGCCCTAAGTTGATTCTTTTTTTTTCTCTTTATTTTTTCTTCAATTGTTAATGTTGTTTTCATTTTTGTGGTAATTTCAATTTTTATAGACTAATTTTTATGATAAAAAATAACAAATTCAACAAAAAAAACTAGTTTTTTTATGTAATTTTTTAATTTCAAAACGTAGATTTCTTTGTTAGTTTTGTGGGCACCCTCGACGCTGTGCATAGGGCAAATGGCAACAGACATTTTGGATATGATAAAATTGGAGTTTGTACATTTTACCATTTGGAATAAGTAGATGGACCTCAAACATACTGACATCGCTTTATTCTGGCAAATAATGGAATATCTACAGTTATACCAATGGTATTATTATAACATTTTGAAGCAATAAAGTTATTTCTAACACATATACCTACATATATACATCCATATAGGTCGACAAAAAATATATTTATGAAAATAAGAGAGGGAGATGGAGAGAGAGAGAGAGTGAGAAAGAGAGAATAACAGAATAACATGATTTCTAATCAACAGTATGAAAATCACTGGGTTTCCATTGAAAACGGTTAACAAATATATTATATAATATAGCTTGTATTAATATTCATATGAAATAAATTTTTAAGATTCAACGTAAAATCGTCAACAAATTAATTAATTAAATTCATCACAACATCATTTAGATGAGAAGTTACATAGTTTACACGTTTTCAATGCATTTATTATGACTACAATTACAGATTATACAATACAAGTTTCATTTTTTCTTCGCGTCACATCAATAGTTTACATGTTTTTCATAGATTTCTATCACCTCTCTCGCTTTTTCTTTCTTTCCTTCTCTGTCTATTTGTCGATCTATCCATCTATCCATTTGTCTTTATCTCATTTTTTAGTTTAAATATTCATTGGTCATATTTTGAAAAAAAATGTATGGAAGCTATAATTTTTTTAAAGGTATGTAGTGTCATAATAATAAAATTATAACTATACTAATAAAAGTAATTATTAATAATATATATATATATATTATATATATTATCATTATATATATATATAATATATAAATATATCGATCAAAACTTAAAATGTATGTACATCGTTATTAAGTAAAAAAGTAAAGTAAAAAAGAAAACAGACAGATACAATACATACATACACACACACATACATACACACACACAAACAAACACACAACAAACAGAAAATATGCCTATAGGTAATATGACATCACGGGAACGGTAAAGACAAGAACTGCCTGACTATCCAACACTCCAAAACAACATTACAGAACTGAACAAATTTACAATAATACTTATACAAAAGTTTAATATCTTCTACAAAACTATAACATTTCACGACATTAATTCATTTTATATTTAAAAAGTTAAACGTCTAACGATTTTGATGACTACATTAACTTCACGATTATTCGGCATGAGGTGCACGTTTTTTTAAAAAACATAAATAATGAATTAGATCGTACACATACACACCATACTCTCTTTCTCTCACTCTCTTACACACACACACACACACACACACACACACACACACACACACACACACACACACACACACACACACACGCACGCACACATACATCGAATTTTAAAACAGGATCGGCCAAATTCTTCCTCATTAGATTTATCAGGAGAAAAATGGAGAGGCTCTGACGTCACTCATTCATTAATATTTCACACGAAATAATAAATTAATAAATAAATTACAAAAAATAAGTAATTAGTTACTTATTGGTGAGTGTATAATACACATCCACAAGACGTAAAAGCCTTCCAATTGATATTATTTTCGAGTACTATAGTTCAATTCTTATACTAAAATTTTTAAAATTTTATTATATGAGATATTTTTATAGCATGTGTTATGTTCTTTGTGTATGTATGTATTTTGCTCGTGATAAGGTGTGTGTGTGTGTGATGTGTGTGTGTGCACATCAAACGTATGTGAATGCACTAATGTACATACAAAACAAACACTATTATTCTAATACAACATCTACAAATGAAAGTGTCACAGAACAGAACTGTTGCTTACAACACTAACTACACAAATTCAACGCCAATAACGGGGCCATTTAATTTCTACAGAATGGCCGCTGGTCACCTAAGCTATTGGATAATTGTAATAATATCAGCTGTACACAATGTTCACACATGTGTGTGTTTGTTTGTGTGCGTGTGTGTTTGTTTGTTTGTGTGCGTGTGTCTACAAATCTTTTACCGTATCTTCTGGTACGACCAAGAGAAGCTTCTGAGTAAATAACGTGATGTTATCTGGGTGAAGTTTTAAATTTTCTTAATAATTATTTTTAAACTAATTAAGTAATAATATATCAATAAATTACAAATATATATTGCTAAACAGTACCACATAATGTGTGTGTGTGTGTGTGTGTGTGTGTGTGTGTGTGTGTGTGTGTGTGTGTGGTGTATGTGTGATGCGGTGATTTACATGTATTTACATCATAGACCCCATATTTGTTTTGTTGTAGATCTTCCTGAGAAATAATTAAAAGAAAATTGTATAAAAATGAAAACAAAAAGTTAATTCACAAATTTTTCAATCGTTTTATGTTTATATTTTAATATTTTATTTCAAATCCCACCACAAACCGATTAATTGGTTGAATTTTTTTGGTTTCGACTTCCACTGCACAAATATGACGTAGACTGGAATGCCCGTGGCTATGATCAAACAGCCCATACCTGCACGTGTTGTGGTGATGTTTATCGCGGTTTAACTCTCGCTAACTGAAACATCAATTGAAATCTAGAAAAAGATTGACTGGTTAATAACATCCATGATGAAAGAGATGAAAGTTATTTTATTACTGTATGTAAATTTATTTAGAAGTAAGTGGTGTGGTGTTATATTTGCGATTTCAGAATTAAATTAAATTTGTCGATTTGTCTTCTATTTTTGAATATTTTTATGTTACTTTTCCTTTATAGTTTGTTCTACGTTTCTTATAGAAATTCTAATTTGATTTCGATGGTTTAATTAATTTTTTATTCTAAACTTATTTTGGACTGTATGTCTGTCGGTCTGCCTGTCTGTCTGTCTGTCTATCTGTCTGTCTGTCTGTTTATCTGTCTGTTACCTAGTCTTTTAATAATAAAATCATAATTTGCGAATTTGAATTGACCTGTTTCAACGGGCGATGTAAACATAGGTACCAAGATGATGAACGCCGATGCGAGTACGTACAATATCGGCCATACAATCCACACCTTGATGATTTTACAAAAATTATTTTTAATATTGTAAAATTTCTTTCAAAATCATTTTTAAAACATTTATTTATTTAGTCAATTAATCGTTCATTCGTTAGTTCATTCGTTCATAAATTAGTTCGTTCGTTCGTTCATTCATTCATTCATTCACCCACTCACTCAATCATTTAACCATTCATTCAATCATTCATTAATTCATCCAACCATTCGACTGGCCAACCTTGATCGGTCGATTCATATCCGGTTTGGTGTACCTGAAGTAGAGCAGGGAGACGATTGAGATGGCGATAGCGAGCCAGTTGACGAAAGAGACATAGTTGATGAGTTTGTACATGTCCGTCGAGACCAGGTAGATACATGAAAATAACCCCTGCGATTGTTGTTTGCGTTTTGTCTGTTGTTGTTGGGTTGTTTGTTGTTGTTGGGTAGTTTGTTTATTGTTGTTGATGTTGTTGTGTCATTGTCGTATTATTATTGTCTGCTTTTCATTGTCATTTGTGTTGTTTGTGCTGTTGAATCTGCCGCTGTGTTAATTAGTAGTTAAACACTTGACTAACTAATCAATCAATCAGTTAATTAGTTAGTTAATTAATGGATTAGTTAGATTTAGTAACCATAAATATGACAGCGGGTGCCGGGGTGAGCCTTCTGACTTGCACGTAGCTGAGGACCTGGGGCATGTGGCCCTCCCGAGAGCCAACATAGAATAACCTTTGTCCAAGTATTTAGTTATTTTTTTAATTCAATTTTTATTTGATATTTTATAAATTCAATTCTCGTTCATTTGATTTTTATTATCTAACGCTTGCTTATTCGGAAAATTTATTTAAAAAATCGAAAGCTTTGCATTTAAGCAGGAGTAGCGAATACCTAAAAAAAACAGCATACAATATTTATATCTATAATTTCAATTCAATGAAACAAAATTAATTAATTTTTAATAAATAATAATAATTCAATAATAATAATAAATGATAATAATAAATGATAATAATAATAACAATAATAACGAATAAAAAGGGCTGACCTCGAGGTAGTAAATAAGATGCCATTAACCCCGCCAAAGGTTGACAGGGCTACGAAGACCGGCATGACCCAAGCCATGACTCCATACATGCGCTGAGCAAAGGTCTGCGTAAAAGTTAGAAACCTTCATTTCAATAAACACCATTTTTTATCTCTTCCCTATTGTCAAAAACATTTTAAAATTAAAATTAATTTCAAAATGACTAAAAAGTACGAGTCGAGCAGCACCACTGACCACTGCCACGGCTTCTGAAGCGATCATCTCCTGGGGCGAGATGACCGAGAAGTAGGCGACATTTGCAAAGAAATATACGACAGTGACCAAGATAGTTGATATCCATGACGCCAGTGGTAGATTCCTTTAAATAGAAAAACATTAAAAACATAAACTATTTCGTTAATTGGCTACTGGGCTACGCTCACAGGTACTTATGTCACTCATGTATAATCTGCGAGTCTGCTCCACCGACAAAAGTTAAATTTCTCAAGATGTCATTGCCAAAGTGAATTACGAAACGAAAATATTGACGAGTGAATAATTGTTTCTAATTATTATAAAAAATGAAAAAAAAATTTATTCTATGATAAATTGTACTCCTACTTATAAGGATCTTTGAGCTCTTCAATGACGTAATTCAAATAATTCCTGTGATGACGTCATGCAAACACGGATTTAATTTCATTTGCAGTTTCGATGAATGTTGACGTGAACAAAAATGTTTACGATGATAACAACAACAACAACAACAACGAACGACTGTGATCATGACAATTATGACGATGATGACGGGGGTCAGAGTAATGGCAAAATGATAACGTCGTTGATCTATATTTATCCAATCATACACTCATTCATTCATTCAGTCAGTCATTCATTCATTACATTCAGAGCCACACACAGACCATCCATTATAAGCAAAGAGTCCTTGGTAGAATGCTATCGCCAGCGATCCAACTCCTATCTTTGAGTTTTCAAAAGGATCTTGGAAGTGTTCTACGTGTCCTATTTATAATAATATTGATTTTTATTTTTTTTTATTTATAATTAAAATTATAATTTATAATAATTATTGATACATATATCATTGATATCATGCAGGATATTATGGAAATAAATAAGATGATATACAATGTGTACATAATGTCCGGGCGGCAATATTGCGTAGAGATCTACTGCTATCACATACAATGTGTATTCACATACGCTTTGTGTGCTTGTTTGCGTGTGTGTTTGTGTGTTTGTTGATACCTCTGAAAATTAACTCAGTAAAAATTAGTAATAGAAATGTTTTACAACGCAATGCGGTAAACACTTTACAGTATTTAAACTTCTTTATACTTTACAACACTTAATAGCAAAATTTGTTGCTTTGTTACATTTCAACTCGACCACCAATCACCATCATACAACGCACGCACGCACGCACACACAATCACACTCACATACACACACACGCACACGTAGCATAAACATTTTATCTGTAGTACCTAAAAGTTCGATGAATGTTTAAAAATAAAATTTCGGGTGAATGATTTAGGTATAAATAGAATGTAACTAAAAATAGAAAAAATTATTATTAGAGAAAATAATTAATAATAAATCAAAGCTAGGAAATGTAAATAAACAAGGAATATATTGGAAGACGTTTCGAGAAGTTGGGGAGGGGGTGGCTTTAGGCGGAAGAAGATGCTAAATAAGAATGAATGACGGGACGAAATAAAAACAAAAAATAAAAGAATGATGATTGGGAAAGAAGGAATGAAAGATGAATAGAAGAAATGGTGAATAAGAAATGAAAAAAATGAGAATTTTTTTGAATGGAAAACCAATTAATAATTATTTGGAACAACTAAGGAATTGAGATCCCGCCTTTAAATGAAAATATATTTAAAATGAATTAATGAAAATAAAATAAGAATAAATAAAAAAAATATTAACAATGAATAAAACAAAAATTAAACAAGAACTGATAAAAAAAAGTTAAATGATAAAAACATGAAAAAAAAACAAAAATCGAAAAGTTAATAAAAAAAACTAACGTTCACTCAACATCTTTTAATCGTGTGAATATGGCATGTGTGTGTGTGTGTGTGTGTGTGTGTGTGTGTGTGTGGGTGTGTGTAAATAATTGTTTGTTTGTGTATGTGTGTCTAATTGTTTGTTTGTTTGTATGTTCATTCATCAACCAGCCAACCAACCAACCAACCAACCAACCAACCGAGAAACATTTGTACGAATCCAGTGATAATGATTAGGAAGAGAGCCAGGAGTTTTGCGTACGTGAAAACATCCTGAACTCTCATGGACCACTTCACGTCCAGTGCATTCACAACTGACAGGATTGCTGTTGTATAATGCAGTGTGTGTGTGTGTTTGTACGTGTTTGTGGTTTGTGCGTGTGTGTATGTGTGTGTGTGTGAATGTGTAGGCATACATGAGTAATAAATGAATGCATATAAAACTTTACATAAAGCTTATAAAAAGCCAATATAGCATATATAAAGCATATATATAAAGTATTAGATAACCCCATATTTATTATTAAGCCTATTTATCGTACATAAATAGCACATACAACCGCAATTTCTGTACGTGTGTGTTGACAGCCACTTGGAATTTGTAAATCTTGCCTTTGCTCATATCAAAAACTGTTGCCTGTTTGTCGAAAGTAAGCTAGAAATGACGAGATGAACATTTTGAGAGGTTCAGTATTTTAAATCGGAGAAGGCTCAACTTGTCTACAATATCATGACCGACAAAAATTTCATGTGCAAACTTTTTAATTCACGACAAATATTTATTCCTATCACTCTCTGCAGAACGAACAGCGTCATCTTCTTCCTCATCATCGCCATCATTTTTCACATGGCTACACGATGGTATTGATTTTCTGAACAGGTAGGCAAAAAAAGAGGATGTCGGTAGGTAGGTAGATAGGTAGGTGGGTTTGTATGGAAAGACGATCATGCGTGTGTTTGTGTGTGGGTGTATATGTGTGTGTACGTATGTATGTGTGTATTTATATATGTATGTGTGTGTACGTATGTATGTGTGTATTTATGTATGTATGTGTGTGTGTGTGTATGTGTGCCATCGTCATCTCCATCCCCATCACCATCATAGTTGTCACCATCCTTCATCATCACATCAACACTATCGCAGTCATCATTATTATGACGTCATTACCGTCATAATTTTCATGTCATTGTCGCCATTTGATGCTTTGCACGTCACTTGCATTTGTTAACTTCGATTTGTTGGCAAAATACTTATTTAAATGAAAATTAATGCAAATGAAATTGAACACCAATCTACGTATCATAAAAACAGGCCCGGAACTAGGGGGGGGGGCAAAGGGGGCAAGCGCCCCGGGCGGCAAATTTTAGACATTTTTTAAAAATTTGAAAAATTTATTCGCATTTGTTATAATATGGATGATGGATCAAAGTAAATTTGATTTTTTTATATTACTCATTTTTAATTTTTTTTTAAATTTTTTTGGTTTGTTTTTTTTTCTATGTAAAGATTAAAATATAAACGCAAATATTATGAGCAGAATCTTTATCTTATTTCTTATTTGTAATCTTTCCCTTATTTGATTTAAAAGCACGCCGCGAAAAATATCGTATAGTATAGTAGGTTAGTTTAGTCGTTTTCATGTTAGAAAATAAAAATGGATGGCAGAAAAAAATTTAGTGGAGCTGAATACAAAAGAATTGCTAAAGAAAAACGAAAAAAAGAAAGCGATGTGCTGTCACTAACGCCAAAATTAGAAACGTTATTCAACAAATCTAATGTTAATGTTAGTATCATAGTGAATAGTGATAAAGAGGGCTCAAAAGAAAAATCAGGTAAATATTTTTATTATTTCAAATTTTATTAATTGAATAATGGAACATTATGCACAATGTGTATTAATTATGCATCCTTTTGAATAAAATAATTTTTTTAAATATTTCGTATTTAGATGACATGGAAGCTAAAGAAGAGATCAAGGAGAAAGTATTTTGGTTCAACTTTAATTCAACAAATGAAACTGTAGAAGAATTATTACCTCAACAAGACCCCACAACTAGTCTTCAAAAGACATCTAAGTTTTCAAGCTCATTTCGATTCGTTCGGTTATTCGATATCCGTGTTTTTGGATTTTTTACTAATATTTTGTGATTGTAGTAGTAGAAGCAGCAGCAGTAGTAGTAGCAGCAGTAGTAGGTAGTAGTTGTTTGGAAAGCTTTTTGAAGATAGCGTGCATATTAAACATTCGATTCTGTTTGATAACGATTGTATGCAAATTAGAAAATTGTTCAACGCACACACGTCTACACGTAAATGTATATATGTACAAATACATAAACACATGCACTGCACATACACAAACATACATACACATTTAAGTAAATGTGCCTCATATACAATACATAGGTAAACATAATGTAAATGTTATGGACCAAAAATAATAAATACATTTTTATAAGCAGCAATGTAGGTAGATGTGTTCTCCATCCATCCTTCTTTCATTCCAGTCATTTCTTTTTCAATTATTTATTCAATTGCTCTTTCTTTCTTTTTTCGTTCACAATTTCATTACCTCATTCAGTCGTTCGTTTGGTCGTTTATTTATGCGTTCGTTCGTTCATTCATTCATTCACTCGTTCCGAGATGTCAGTTGCACGCGTCGTGCAATTTCAACTCATCAACTCACGTATTGAATATCTCGAAGCTCTCCATTGCGTCCTCCCGTCGCTTATTACTTTTAATATTTGTTTTTTTTATTGCCCTCATAAATATTCAGCTGCCAGTACCACATGAGATTCAAGATTTTCAACGCAAATGTCACGATAGTAACAGCAGATATGGTGAGCTATATTGCTTTAAACAGTTGTAGGACAATAAAAATGACAAAACATCGAGCATTAGCAAGCAGTGTTATAAATCATTGAAACCAAATTTCAATAAACTCTTCAAAAACAATTCCTCACACACAAACTCCAAAATAATTTTTAAAACACCTAAAACGCACCCACCAATACAAATTGCCGCCAAAAGACGAACGGCTGTTTCCGGCTGCTCACACTCCGGAAAAAGTGGCTCGATGACGTAATTGGCAAACGTGAGGGCGACGACTGCAGTCGAACAGGGTCTGACGATCATACATTCCACCCAGAGTCTCAAGAAAGCAGGTAGAGATCCAAATGCCTCCCCTATGTATGCGTAGTCCGCTCCTGACTTTACAATGCAAGTGCCTAAAATAAAAACAACGTAGATGGATGGAGTTTTCGTGGAATGAAGGTGTGCTAGGAAGTTTATATTTAAGCAAAGTGACATCTTGTATTGTGAATACATTGTCACGAACTAAACAAAACAACATTCAAACAATATTTTTATTGCCGAGACGACTACAATACAACCAAATTAACAAATATTTCCGAAGTTAATTTGTGTTGTGTTCATTAACAACGAGCAACGAACCTAATTCAGTGTAGCAGTAAGCTCCAATCATAGAGAAGACCCCACAAGCCAGCCACACAATGAGGGAAAGCCCAACAGAGCCGACCTCCTGGAGAACTCCTTTGGGACTGACGAAGATGCCTGAGCCGATGATACTACCAACAATTACTGTTATGCCGTTGATTAGAGTGATCTTGCGCTCCAACTTCACCGCACCAGTGTTCACGTCGTCTGTCATTTCCAGTCAGTTGACGATTGGTAGTGGAATGATGTTTATACTTTATATATTATAGCGCAGTTTGTTTTGATTCTAAAATACAGAGATCTGTTTTATAATGTTTGATCCTAGCTTTTGCTCTTTTTTATTAATACTTTGTATATTTTATGTGCAGTAAGCTTTAGTTCAAATTGTTTGTGATTGTACGTTTCATTTAATTGTTACCTGATCGCTTAATCAAGCTCAATTTTGAATTTTCAAAATTGTTGATAGCTTTCGAAAGTTTTTAACAATATAGATGCAACTTGTAAATATTTATTTCCGCATAAACAAACCTAACAATGTAATCAGATGTCAGATGATTTACAACTTGAAGTCCAATGGTCACACAAAACGCGTTAAATTAAATTAACCTAAAAACTTAATGACTACTGTACCAACCCAGCTGGCAAATTTTAACAATGAATTATTAAGTAACTTTCAAATTAATAGTCCTAGAAATATTCTCCTAATATAAAATAATTGAAGAAAAGACACAAACACAAATACGAATGTTTCACTAATAAACTTTAACGCGGCATTTTATAGCAAACAACCAAACCTTTAAATTCATTCATGCACCTAGCATTTATATTTTACTCTGTAAAAACAGATGATATATATGTGCGCAATTAACACGTGTTTGTTTGTTCATAGATGGATAGGACACCGGTTTCTTTATAATCCAAAGAATACGTTATAAAGGTGATCTCCAACTCAAACTTCTCTTTTGTAGGTATATTCAGTTTATTTCCATTTACAAATTTCAAACATTATTTTTAGATAACTGGTTTCTCAATAAGATCTACATTACAATCATATGTATATATCTCTAGTATAGTATTGTATTGTTTAGTGTAGTATAATGTAGTATGGTATTGTATTATATTGTATGGTATTGTATTGTATGGTATTGTATTGTATGTTGTTAGAAGTAAACATATGTACACGTGTGTGCGTATTTCATGATGCGTATTGTGTTGTGTTTTCATCATATGCATCTATAAATAGTACAAGTTGCTGCTGCTGAGATGACGGGAGGAGGTTGAAGGTTAATCATCTTTTAAGAGATTTGTGAAAATTAGTAAAAAAACCCTTTTAAAGATGAACCTTAGGTGCGTATTATCTATACAGACCATGTGAAAAAAAACAACCATGAAATTTTATTTTATAAATCATTCATACATCCCTTAACAAGTGCCCGTCTAGGAAAGGTGAACTTAACGTAATGGAAACTGCGAGTGCGAATTCCGATTCAAAATCCGAACAAGAAATAGAAAACGTGTTGACTGAAAGCATTCCGAACGGTCAATAAATTTTTAATTTATTCGTTTTAATGAACGAGTCAATTAAAATCTATTTTTATTTTATACTTCTCCAGATTTGTATTTATTGTTGAATTCTAAGTAGTCCTTCCATGACATGACACATGACGTGAATGACAGTTGACAACATGAACGATCGTGACATGACGTTAATTATAAATTAAACCATTTTGGTTTGATTTTTTCATTTCTTTTTGTGCGTATTTCATCATGTTTTTTCGCTTTAAGTTAATTAGCAAGCTTGTTTGATGATCAAACTTTGGTCTTATCAAAAATTTACCACGAAAACAGTGAAAGTTCAAATTTTAAAATAATAATAATTTTATATATTAAATTAAATTCATATAAATTATACAACAGCCTGTCCTGGGACACAAAGCGATTTGGCCGGCAAGGCATCGTCATGTCAGGGATGTCCCAATCAAAAGTTGTGCCAGTCAGGCCAAGCGAGCACTGATGATCCGGGTTTATTTCATTTTGAAACTCCATTTTGATCAGTATCAAATTGTTACTTTCAAAATTTAAATATGATAATACTTTAGTAAATAAGTCCTAGTAGCTAGTGTAATTAAAAAATCTCCTTTTTTTTAATTTAATTACTCAAATTTATTTATTGTTAATGTTTCACTAACATCAACGCTAAATATTTTCAAAAATGCTATTCAGCCGTAGCTGAAGTTGCAGAGCGCATATCATGCATTAGGCATAAAATTGTCATACTCTCCGGGAAAGGTGGAGTTGGAAAAAGCACGTTCACAGCCCAACTGGCACATGTGCTTGCACAGAATGAAAACAAGCAGGTAATCAGTTATGGTTGTTATTGCATGAAATAATAATTAAATGAATAAATAGTAAATAAATGATTAAATAAATAAATTAATAAATGAATAAATAGTATTTTCAAATTAATTGAAATGAATTCATAAGATTGGTATCATGGATGTAGACATCTGTGGTCCATCCATTCCTGTCATGATGGGCTTAGATGGACATCAGGTAGTAGTAACATTAGTATTATTATTATTTATATTTTTATTATTATCAATCAAATAATTGGTTGATTGATTGGTTGATTGATTGATTGATTGATTGATTGATTGACAGGTACATCAAAGTGCCTCTGGGTGGTCACCTGTGGTAAGCAAAAATATTTTTTGATGCTATTTGACTTGATATGATAATTATATGGCATATTCTTCTTCTTACTTATAATAAGGGCACTGAATATTATTTAAAATTAATGAATGAAAATCTTTTATGTGAAATAATAACTTGCTGAATAATAATAATATAAATAAATATAATAATTATTGTTATAATTAGTTATCAGAAAACAATGTATCAGTCATGTCAATTGGTTTCATGTTGGATGGTCCTGATGCTGCTGTTATATGGAGGGGTCCGAAGAAAACTGGTGATGATGACGATTGAGATGATGAAGAAGAAGATGATGATGATAAGAATGAAGATGATGGTGATGATGAGGATGATAATGATGAAGATGATGATGAGAATGAAGATGACGGTGATGATAATGATGAAGATGATGATGAGAATGAAGATGATGATGAGGATGGTAATGATGAGGATGAAGATGATGATTGTGATGATGATGATTGAGATGAAGATGACGATGATTGAATGATTATGTTGATGTTATATTGGTTATATGGTGGTGAATTAGTGGTAAAAGAAAAATTAATAGTGATGAAAATGATGCAGATGGTAAATATATATATATATATATATATATATATATATATATATACATATATGTGTATATGTATATATACATATATGACTATTTTTATTACTTTTATTTGCTAAAAAATATTAATCTGACATCTTTTGCCATAGGTATGATTAAAAAATTTCTCTGCGAAGTTGACTGGGGTGACTTGGACTACCTCCTTATAGACACGCCGCCTGGAACGTCGGACGAACATCTTGCCATTGTGCAATACTTCAAAGAGGCCCATATAGATGGCGCGGTTGTCATTACCACACCCCAGGTTTGCTGTTAAAGTATTTTATTTTATCTAAGTTTATTTATGAAACGCATAAAAAACGAAACATTTATTTATTTATTCATCCAAGTCTTTTTTAAAGAGTTCTATATCTTAATTACTTGAATTTGTAATGTATTTTTCTGATTTGATTTGTTTAGTCAATTAATTAATTAATTAATTAATCTGTTAATGAATCTATTTAAAATGTTTAGGAAATTTCCTTGGTTGATGTTAGAAAAGAAATAAACTTCTGCAAGAAGATTGGGATAAATATCTTGGGAGTTGTTGAGAATATGTCGTCGTTTGTTTGTCCAAAATGCAGAGTAAGCTATTCGTGAATGAATATTCAAAAATTCACCTTTGTGAATTTAATACTGCTTACAAAGTTGATTATCTCTATCTTCTAGTAAATCTGAATGAAGTGTAGTCTAAGTAAATTTGTTCAAGGTACAAAACTCAGCTCATTTATCTCAAACAGAAATCTAGTGAAATTTTCCATGCCTCAACGGGAGGCGCATCTGTGATGTGTAAAGAAATGAATGTTCCATTTTTAGGTTCACTACCCTTTGACCCTAAATTAGGTTAGCTGGATGTACTCGTTTTTTCTACATTTTTTTTACCGAGTTTCAATCATTTGATGTTTCATTAAGTTCAGTTATTGACTTTTCAAATGGTATGCTTTATCTATAATTTGATTAGTTTTATGCCCGTTAAGAAGCAGTTTATTGAGCACATGTTACATTAAGATTTGTGTGTGTGTATATGAATGAATGAATGATTGAATGGATGAATTAATGAATGAATGATGAATGATCGCCATACAGCTCAGTGCAGTGATGAAGGTCAGGTTTTCATCTCATCGCATCCTGAAAGTCCTGCTGTTGCATCTCTTCAACAGATTGTTCTAAGTTAATCTCATTCTCTTTTTTTCACAATTTTTATTTTATTTATTTAAATAATTTTCCAGTTTATTTACTTTTCACCTCATTTTTAATGAAATTTATTGTGCTACTCGATAAAATTGTTCTTTTTTTTTATCCCGGTCAGAAATTCAAGATTTGTGTGAGAAGAAAGATATAACCGTCGTTGAACAATAGCCTTCAATCATATATTTGTGTTTTTTGTATATATCTTATTTGTTTTTTTTTATGAATTTAAAAATTGTATTTAATAAAAAATTAATTGACGGTCTTTTATTCGAATAATTCATTTTAATCGTCAAACGTTTTAACCTTGCTAATTATTTGAAAATTGGTCCTAACTTTCCTCTTGCATGTCTTATGAATTCAATTCAAAACGTGTAAATGTGTGTGTTTAGATATGCCTACTCTTGTACACCTAGGTTTATGCAACAATACAACAAATTTATAGGAATAAGAAAGATGAAACAGATATAAAAAGTATAAACATTTGTATGTAAATTATTATAAGTATATGAGATATATCTATGATATGCATAGATATCATTGATATTTATATATATATATGAAGTTATTCTATGTATATTAGATATACAGAACAAAGTATAATTATTTTTTGAAAGTATATAAAAAGTATAAACATTTGTATGTAAATTATTATAAGTATATGAGATATATTTATGATATGCTTAGATATCATTGATATTTATATATATATATTAAGTTATTCTATGTATATTAGATATACAGAACAAAGTATAATTATTTTTTGTAAGTATTATTAATCCATGAAGGTATTATCATGTAACAAATATGGATATCATAAAACGTATATGAGATATATATCTATGATATATATAGATATCTTTGATATATATATGAATATATATGAGATTTTTCTATGTATGCTAGATTTGATATACAGAATAAAGTATAATTGCATATAAATGTATTACGTACATATAGTGAACGCACCAATACCTGTATGTATACACATGTATAATCTTCTATTGTATTGTTTACCTTAGCATTGTGAATGCTTCATTTAATTTAATTTAATTTTCTAGTTAAATTTTCCGTTGCATTCTATCTGGGCATTGGTTATTGTATGTGATTTTATGCGTGTGCGTGTTTGTGTGTTTGCTGCTGATTAACGTTTAATTAATTATATTTTAGTATTCAATAGTTTATGCTTATATAATAGTCACCAGTCAAAGTCAGCTATTCCATTATTAAAGATTAATAAAAGATTGAATCTCTTTTTTTTTGATTTTTCACACTAATTTTTATTCAAAATTTTAGTATTTTGGTTTAGATTGGTTAAGTAAAGTAAAAATACAGATTTAAACTATCAATATGAAATACTAAGAATAACATTTGATAATTATATAATACTTCAAATAAAAGTAAAGTATAGAAATTTTTTTTCATTTTGTATAAAAGAGACATTACATTTTTGTGCTTTATTTTGAATTTAACCTAAAATACTAAATATAAATGTGATGATTTGTATTTATATATTCAATATTATTAGTAATATAAATTAAGTTTTATTACTTATTTTATTAGTAACAAATCATCGAAATGCCCGTAACTCGAGGTATGTTGAGGCCTGGTGGAGATGGTTCAATGAAGAGCTTTGTAATAATACTCACTGTGGTTGGTCTGATGTTTCTGATGTACTACAAGTACAAACTAACTTCATATACGTCAACTCCTGAGATAGCTGCTGCCAAGGAAAGTGTTTATGGGGAAAATAAAATGGCCAAAGAAGTTGCCAAAGAAATTGCCAGCTTGAAAGAGCAGATGAATCGATGGAAAGACGAGTACCATGTTTGTGATATAAATAGTTCTATATATTTTTTAAAACTATTTTAATTTTTAGTTTGAATATGCTAAAATAATTTTTCCAGTTGGACAGTAATTAACTATACATGTATGTAGGTAGATCTAAACCAATTTTTCAATATCGGAATTTTAAATTTTTTTGTGCATTTTTGATCAAATATTTTTTGTATTGCCAAAATCACACTCATTCAATTTTTTTAAATCTGCTTCAGTTTGATTAATAAATAAATTTTGGTATAGTATTTTTCAATATTTTTGTTCAACTTTTTATAATATTGATGAATATTTCAAATGAAATATAATAAAGCTAAAATTTTGCTGCTCAGACATGTAAAACTGATAAGGAGGTACTGGAGATCAGACAGAAAAAGGTTGTCATTAAGAAGGACATGGAAAATGAACTGGATAACATGAGGAAAAAGTTATATGACACCAACGATGAGTTAAAAATTCAGAAGGAAAAAGTTGAAAACTTAAGCAAGAGATTGGTGGGCCTTTCAATTATCTCCTTCCATTTTCAACATCTATTCCTTATTTTGAATTCAAAATATTATAAAAAATTTTAATTTCAATTTAGAAAGATGTGCCATGTTTTTTTAAATTTATTGATTTTACTAATTAAATTTTCAGGAAGAATGCACTGATATAGCAAAACTTTTTAAAGGTAATATAATAAAAATGCTGTATGAATGTTATTTTCAACATCTACTTACAATAACTTGTAGTGATATTGCTAACGTTGTGTGGCTACTACATTTTTTTTCACAGGAAATGGTGATCAACGGGAGATTTGTAAATTAAAAGTGATTGAATTGAATAGTTATTGCAGTGCTGAAATGGGTGCTTTTGTTAAGAAGACAATGCCTTATAATGAGTATTTTATTTTCTCTCTAGATGTCATTTTTCAGAAAGTCTTAATATGTTATTTTTGTTTGCAAAACATTAACTTGGACCTTTCATACAAACATTTTTCATACACAACCATCTTTCTGAATTTTTTATAAATGCACACAAAATTTTATCTATCTCTGATCCTAAAAAACTGAACTGCATTTACTTGCTATTTTTCTTGAGAAAAAAAACTGTTATTATTGAAGATAATTTTTAATTTAATCCTCTATAAAGACCACTTTAAATTATTTTCTTCACCAGTATCAAACCACCGTCGATGACAAAAGATGAAAACTCGTCAGTAAGTAACAAACAGTCGGGTGTAGGAACTGAAGCTTTCATAGAATCAGACGGTAAAAATCAACTGAAAGGAAAGCTCGGAGATAAAAGTATTCTCATAAGTGGTGCCTCTGATAAAAAATTCAATCAACAACGTACGATAATAAACGATGGAAAATATTTGCCTAAAATCTTGCACGATTCAAATGTTGCTGATGTTAACAAGAATGCAAAACAGGTCGATAATGTTAACGCAGGCGGTAAGGAAGATTTGAATGACGCTGATGGTAACAAAATGGTCATCAAGATGCCATTTTTTAATGATGTGGATAATTCTGATGGAAAGATTAAAAGTCCAGTCAGAAATGTTAGCAGTAAGATGGTCAGTACTCTGAAGAGGAAAGATAACGATAGCAGTCTCAGAAACGATAGTAATAATAATGATAATAATGACGACGATGATGGTGATGCTGTTAAAAATGATAACAAGAATGACGGGAGTGAACTTAACAAAAATAGAAGTGGTAAAGAGATGAAGAATAATGACGATAGCAATTTTAATAACACTGGCAATGATAACGAGAATGTCGAGTATGGCAAAGATGATGAGAACGCAGATGATAACACAACAAATGAAACTAATGTTGCCGATGACAAAAGACTAATGATAAACGATAAATACCCTATTGAAAAAGTACTCAAAACGGCGAAAAATAAAGCTGAAGAGGAACTTGTTAACCGGAATGATTTTTTCCCAAAAAAATTTTACAAACGAAATGGCAGTCAAACAGCAGATCAACAGCAGCAGCAACAACAAGGGCAGTCAACAAAACAACCTCAACAAAAACTTAAACAGTCGCAGACGCAACAACAATCATTACAGCAACAATTTCTACTGCAGCAACAAAAGCAAGGTGATATACAACCTCAACAACTACAACGTCACGATTCTTCACACCTTGCAGAGAAACAACAACAAAAATCTTCACAACCACCACTACCACCATCGAAACCATCCAACTTTAGCATCCAACACGAACAGCTGGAACAACAATCAAAAAAATTACAAAATGACTCACGCAATGAACTCACCCCGTCTGCAAGCATGCCTACTAAATCAAATAACTTGATAGAATCAAAAGAAAAGTCACTGGAATCTAGGAGAAAAGAACATGCTAGCATTCTTGACGGACAGCAAAACGACAATCGGAAAACTCCAGATAGTAAAACATCAAAGCTAGATAAGCTAGAAGATAAATTAGAGGACGTTGCCGACGATGATGAGGACGTTCCTAAAAAGGAAAACAGCATCAGAGCTGGTAACCAAAATCTTAATGTTATAATAAGAAATAACTACACAAACAATGACATCCTTTTCCAGAAAAGAAACCGATTTTGATTTAGACATTTCTACACCTTTTTCCGCATTCTTGCTCCAACATTCCATAAAAACGAAATAAAAGATAGTATATAGGGTTTAGTTTTTAAGTATACCTATTGCTACTGCATTAGTTATTGAAACAGTTTTCAATGGGTTTTTTTTTATCATTCGTCGTTAAGTATGCCATTTGTTACGTTCACAAATTGATGTGTTCTATGTTCTGTTCATGTTTTGTGTTCCTATTTTGTTTTTGTTCTGTGACTTGTACGATGTAATGATAATAAATTTTAATTAAATGAAATACAGCCATTGATATTTTAAGTAAGTATTTTAATGCCTAACTTGTTATTTCTTTTGATTTTTTAAAACGCTCCCTTTCATTTAAATAAGAAATGTTACTATTTACATATTGATAATTAAGTGAGTCGGTTTGACTGAGCTCATACATAGTTCAAAATAAATGTTTATCTATCAGCAAGTTGTAGAGTACTTGCAAAGTTTAACTTATAAACACTTTAGACTAACATTGCCCTGAGAGCAAAGTTGTTGTTTTCTTACATATTGCAACAATTTCTTACATACCGTTACACTGTTTGATTAAGCTGTGATATGCTGAGTTGTATCTCATCAATTTGTCACCCACAAATTCATTATTTATACACTACTTGCTTGTAACTTGATGTATTCGTTATTTCGTTGAATTTCAGTTGAATCAAGACAAGAATGTTGCTTTCTTGAATTATAAATATTTGTAGGTTGAACATTTTTACCGTTTAATAAAATTAAAATAAAAGTATGCGTGTTTGAATGTTGTTCAAATTATTAAAAAAAATTTCTTAGATAGACAAACATTCTATACCCAAACGATATAAAAAAAGATAATATGTAAATATAGTTGGATGGATAGATAGACAATGATCAAAACGTAAATAATGATTGAAAACGCCAACAATAATTTAGATACACGGGTTTGATATATTAACAAATAATTTCAGAATTTATAATAATAATTTAAAATTTCAGTTGACCAGGGTCGCCCAAGACTTCTCTGGTGCGGAATTTAACGAAGAAGGCGTCATCAGTGGAATTGAAATCTTGCCTGAATATCTGAGCATGCTGCCAGGCATTTTCACCATCACCTCCCATAAGTTTGACATCCAATCTAAGAACAGCTGAGTTCTTGAAAACATTCAAATCGTATTTGATGCCAGGTTTCAGGTTGAGCTGGATGTTTTTTTCATTTGAAATTGTCCATTCAACAGTTGCATTGTTGTATGTGGTTGATGTTACATACACAAGTACATTCTCTCTGACAATTCTTGAAACTAAATTCAAATCAATTTTCCACGTAAGAGAACCAACCTGACTTCCAGGTGTTCTAGACAGGTAAACCTTTTTCCAATCATGTTCCACTTTTCTGAAAATATTTTCAGAAGAATAAACCAAACTAGACCAGTTGCTTACTTCAAGATAAGAACCAGTGAACCGTTTGTACAAATCTTTAGCAGAGTTATAAACGATCTCAAATGTTTCGTGTTCTTTCTCTAGCGGCAGAAGAGTTATTGTGTGAGGTACAAAGGTTGGAGGACTTCCAATTTCACCTCTTGCAATTCTCCATTCTAATGAACCTGTTGTCCTGCCAGAATATTTTTCATCTTTTTTTTCTGATGGCTCATTCAACATGTCCACTAATTCCAATGCAGTTGCATTTAAAATTCGATTTTCAGCTTCTGGTGACAGCCTCAACAATTTGAACCTTTCTTGCCTCAGTGTAATTAATGCTTTGACTAACCAGCTTTCTTTGCATTCCTTTCTTCTTCTCATGAGAGCCTTGTGGTCAGAACTGTACTTCCATGTGACATCTTGAATGTTGTTCAATGAAAAGGCAAATATGTAAGTGATCTCTCTGCCCCAGCCCTTTTCGTAAAGAAGATTTTGATCACAAACATTTTCACAAGGGTCACAGTGCAGCCACCTTTGTTGGCTCTCTGAATAAACTTCAACCCAAACATGATCAAAGTTTGCGAGAATATATCTGCAAAATTATGTACAATTTGTTTAAAATATTTTCTAATAATAATAATTTCATTTTAATTATTTTATATTTTTGAAAAATAAACAAGCTTGATAGTTTACCTTGTCTCAAAACCAACCGATCTGCAAATCAATGCAAAGCAATTGGCCCATTCTCCACACCTGCCACGTCTTGTTTCCAACAATTTCAATGGATTGTTATATCTAGGGAATCTGATTTCAACTGAGCATTCAGAACATTTATAGAGTTCTGTTTTATAAGCTCCAAAAACTACTTCTTCCAATGTTGGTTCAACATAACCAATAAGTTTAGACTGACCGCAGCAATCACATTCAGGCGCATCTACCCAAGTAAAAAAAGAATATTTGAACCAATACAGCAGCTCTAACAGGAAAATATCTTTGTAATATCGGCCATCAAGTCCAGATTGCTCCATTCTTTTTTTAGTTCGATCTTCAACTGGGCCAGTCCACAAATGCTTGATTCTTAAAATTTCTTCATACAGAAACATTCTGTCAAAATTGTCAGATAAACGAACAAATAAATCTAATTCTGATTTCGAATAAGGGCGTGGAATAGTTTGTTTGAGGGCTCTTTTTCTTGATCTGGTGGCTTCCTCTTCACTGACGTTCGTTAGGGAATTTCGTAAAACGATCTGATCATAGTAATCTTTCAAGTCTAGCTTGACTTTCATGATTTTACCCATAGATATTTTTACTGGCATCTGATAAAAATTATCTTTTAAGGAGTACCCCATCTCGAGCAGGCAGTCCAGCCCTCCGGGTATTTTTCCCAAAACAGATTTGACGACTTCATCATTCACGTCGATTTTTCTAAATTTGTTCGGATCTGATAAAATTCCGTCAGCAAGTTTTAGTAAAGCATCAGCCGCCTTCATAAACTCTGCCTCGCTGACCGTGTAGTACATCCTCATGCTGTTGTTTTCAATCATTTTTTTAATTCTTGATGGTTTTATTTATTTATTATGACGAAAAACTATGTAACATAAATCCACTTTTAGTTGTTTTTAAAATTTAACCGAGAATCAAAACTAGATAAGAGAACAGCGCTCCACCCGAAACACAAAAACTCAATGCTTCCTACCACACGTAACCCGCGAAAACCATGAGCAAACTACGTAATCAATTTTGAAATTTTACACGTACGAAATTACAAGTAAACGGAATGAATCACAAATCGTCAAACAAAATTTTCTAAATGTAAACTTTCAACAAGATTTCAATATATAAACAATAATTATCAAATGGAATCGACTAGGTAGAGATGAAAAAACGGATCATTCAATATGGCATCATGTGTCTTAGCCTTTTGTAGATCATCCGATTTTCAGAAAAGCCATCCTGTGAAAAAAATTATCAAAATAAAGTTATTAAAATCAAATGCTGAGCGTAAACCCACAACGAAGGAATTTATTAAAAAGTAAAGAAAGACCAACCATCCAGAGAATGACTCGGAAGTCATTGCTACATGAAAGGAATTTATTTGGCTCAACTGCTATACATTTCTGAAAGAAGTAACGTACACTCATTCATCGTATATAAATTAATATATATATATATATCTTAAACTTCGTCATCATACAAATCATTATCGCAAATCCACAACTCCATTATCACATCATAACTAATATTTGGAAGTATAAAACAAAGAAACACGTATAATAGTACTGACCATGACAGAGGCGGAATGCAACGAACAGGTACCAAGGGACTCAATCATCAAATCTCCATGCTTAACGCTAGAAAAATAATTAACACCATCAGTTATTTCTATTTAAAATCGCAACCTGTAAAATTTATAAAAATATTTTTTTCATTTTTTTAAAAACCGGACTTTGACAGACGCAAAATCCATAACCAAAAAACTTTAAGTATTGAAGAGGCAAAAATTCACTTCTGATACGAATTGATGTCGTTATTTTTTGTCGGATCCTTACATGATAATCTCCAGATCTTAATTGTAGCATCTCCAGAGCACGAGGCAAATAGATTTCTGCAAACAAAAAATATAACCTAAAAAATATTATACAAAAAAAACGTAAAATAAAATTTTTTCGAAAAACTGCTAGAAAAAATATCCAAAGAATAATCAAAATAAAGTAGGATAAAAATAAAAATACCCTTGATAAAGAGTCGACAAATAAGTGATCTTGCTATCATGTGCAGTTGCCTTACTGACCACTAAAGATTTGGCCACTGCATCATATATGTGAATGCTGTTACCGTGCCCAGCTATTATAAACTATTTGGAAAAATATGGCTAGTAGATGGATGGATTAAAATGAATAAATAAACGGATGAATAGATAAATGGATAGATAGATGAATGATCGAGAAGCATGAATCGAAAGTTTGATTAAATTGATGTAAAAAGGTAAACATTGTAAAGTTCAATCATAGATTTATTAATTCTATTTCAGTATTTCGAATAAAACATTTACAATTAAAAAAAAATAATTATTTTCAATAAAATAATAAATAAATATCGAAATAAACATTCGTAACAACAGACTAACTTTTCCAACAGTAATAATAGACTGAACACTATATGGGTATATTCTCATATCACCAAGGTAACTGTTTTAATTTAATTTCAATTTCTTTATTACCCATCATAATTTTAACAATTTCTTCGAATAATATTATGTCAAAAATATATTATTGTTATAATTATAATTTATAATAAATTATATTATGAATAATATAGCGCCCCACCCGTCAACGTAATTGTATCTGTGAACAGGTGACCAATTGTTGTTGACTGACCACTGATATATAGAACCGTCCAAGCTACCAGTTAGGAAACAGTCATCTAAGAGAGAGAGAGAGAGAGAGAGAGAGAGAGAGAGAGAGAGAGAGAGAGAGAGAGAGAGAGAGAGAGAGAGAGAGAGAGAGAGAAGAGAGTGAGAGAGAGAGAGAGAGGAAGAGAGTGAGAGAGGAAGAAAGAAAAATGAGAGAGAGAGGAGAGAGTTCAATTGGCTAGTTTGTCGTTTGGTGATTGATTGGCTAGTTTGATTGAGTGATTGGCTGACTGCTTAACTACTAGTTGATTGATTGATTAAATAACTTTTTCAAGTATTCCAAAATAATTATCACCATTCATTCAATCATTTTGTTTATAAATCAAAAATAATTTAACCAAGACATCTCTTATACCATCAATTTTGTTGAGTGCAGTTATCGTTTCTCTATGTGAGGCCAATTTTAATTGGTTCTGAAGGTTGAATGATGGCGTGACGTCATTATCGTCGTCATCATCATTATCTCCTTCCTCATTATCATCACCATCTTTGATCTTTTTGGCTTTCTTGTCATTCTTCAACACCTCTATTACAACTATTTGATGTACGAGTATGAATTAAATTATTATTTTAGTTAAAAAAATCTTTTAATCAAAAATTTAAACCAAATTCTGACTAAATTTCATAGATACAAAAACAAGATAATAAAATATGTTGAAAAAAATGCTTTTCACCGAACTAAAAAACATTAAAAACATGTAAACGTCGACATAAATTAAAAAATTATGATGAGATTTTAAGTCTCGGATAAATAATATACGAAACAATTGACTAAAACATCAGAATTAAGACAAATTTTCACTGATTCTTTAATAATAAAGATAAATTTTCATTGATTTTTCAATTATTTTCCAAGAAAAGGCAGTCAAGCAACCAACCCACCTACATAATTGTCAACGGCAATCAAAATGAACTGATTCCTAAATGACAGCATAAAGGAAATATCTGCAAAATTTAAAAAAAAAACAAGGAAAACAAGAAGCATAAATATAATATAGCACAACTAAAAATAGAAAAATATTCCCAAGACTACCTTCATTCTCGACAGGTTTACACGAATCAATCATTCCTTTGTCGATGTGCCAGGCTAGTAATTTCTCGCCCCCGGAGAAAAAATAGTTTGAAAATATTGGAATGGATATCAGGACCTTTTGAATGGAAAGTATTGAATTTTGAAAAAATATTTAAAAAAAAATTAATTTGAAAAAATTATCATTTGAAATGGATCAATTAAAATTTAAATTAACGATCTTCAGCTAACTAAATAAAAGTGATTAAATTTTTATTTAATTTAAAAAAAGTTGATTTAAATAAGAATTATTAATTGAAATGAAACAGCTAGAATTTAAATTAATGCTTTTAGGCTAAGGAAAAGATTTCTTAAATAAAAATATGTTGTAAACATTCAAAAATAAACATATTCTCTTTATTTATATATATATATATATATATATATATATATATATATATATATATATATATATATATAATTAAATAATTATTTGATTAATTAAGTTTCAAAATGACAAAAAATTTGTAAGTATAAAAATGATTAACCCTAGCTAGCCTTTCCTCCCCAGAGTAAACCTTAAACTTGCTACCATCATCAACATCCCATAACTTAATTGGAAGAGTTGAAACAAAATACGAAATCAATAATTTTTAATTATTTATTATTTATATATTTATTGAAAATAGGTAATTATTTATATTTTTCAAAGTCAAATAAATTTTATTTCATTTTAAATGTCGCAAGTTTTTGAAAAGTTAAAAAAAATCTAATCAACTCATTGCATACAATGATTTGGTGATCGGATGATGAACTGATGAGTAAACACTTCGAAGTTATCATCCCACCATCCTCTTCATCACCATCATTGTTTCCATTTTCTGGGTTATATTTCTTAGACTTTGTACAAACTGCCTTTGCATGGAGGCAAGCTATGGGCCTCGTGTGGCCATTCAACTTTTGTACAATTTTTCGTTTCTGTAATCGTAGGATAAATATATATATATATATATATATATATATATATATATAAGTATAAACTATATATATATATATAATTTTATGAATTATAGATATATAATATAACAGCTGTTATGTGTGTTTTATATATATTCATGTATGTATATGTTCTTATATTATGTTCATTCATAACACAACAAAGAGAAAAACAAATTTTGTCACTAATAAAATAAACTAAGATAGAAAAAATTAATTAAATCATTGGAACCTCTGTATCAATAATAACTATAGACCCATCATCTCCACCAGAGCAGTACCTTTTCAAAATTAATTAATATATTTTAATATTTTAAATTTCAATTAAAAATTAGTTAAATATTATTGATTACCATTTCATACATTAAACTAATTAATTAATTAATCCTGAATAAATTTACTGATTGCAAATAAGAAAATAAAATGAAAAATATCTTTAATTCAACAGTTGAATAAAATGATAGAAAAATATATACCAAAATGAAAATCAATCAATTAAAATTTTAAATTAATTTTTCATAATTCAATCATAATATTACATTGATTAATTAATTAATTACTAACTATTAATTATTAATACTACAATAGTTATCAATCAGGACTTGAAAAACAAAATAACAAAATAAAGATTATAATGAAAATTTTAATTAACTTTTTGGCATAACCCTGACAGTGCCTGCAATTCAGTTGAAAACACGTTATTTACATGTAAATATGTTGTTGTAATTTATATAAAAGATTTTATAAAGTTAGGTTAGGGTTTTTTCTATTTTCAGATTAAAATTTACATTTCTATAAAAGTATTTTCACAATTTTAAATCATGGGCACTCACTCATTCATATTTACTCTAGCGTTGCAGGCACTGTTCTATGATTTTGCTAATTTTTTTGCTACTAATATAATATAATGTTAATATAAAATTATAAATATACCTCTTTTCATCAATTTTTTCTAAATGCCTTGCAAAATCTGTGTGTGGCTTGAAAACTGTGGCCTGATCAAAAACGTTCGACAGAACCATTTTTCAAATTTACGTTAAGAAATAAAAAAAAGTTAATTTTGGAAAATATAAAATGGTGGTCAAAATGGTGGTCATCGATATAAATACCCAAAAAATAAACTTTGAAATATGAACTGACCGAACTTTCACATGACGATAATAGAATAATTACCTTAATTATTTACCAAAGAAAAGAAAGTAAGAAACTGTTGAAGTCTATGCTTAAATTTTTTCAAGAGTTCATTAACTATACTTAATTACAGCTTTAACATTCACATTTGTAAATTAATCGATGAAATTAAATTATAATTTTATAATAATTTCAAAATTTAGTTTAAATTAGCACAATATTTGATTGGTTAACTTTGAGCCAGTAACAATTCATTCCAGACAGCAATGGGTGTAGCTACATGGAAAAGCTTGCTTGCATTGGTCAGATGATGTGTGCATGCATAACTTGGTGACTTTGTTTCATAAAATTTATCAATTTACGATCATTTTCTCTCAAAATTCGTTCTGCAACTGACCATTTTCTTAATTTATAATCCACATATTTTGATATTATCTTTTATACGCAATGTTGCTCAGCATTTAAAATATTTTATAACATATGTTAGACATTCGTGAAAATGTTTGAAAATTGGAAAAAAAAACAACATTAAAACTCATGTAAATAGGATAAAATGGATAAGTATTATTGAAATAAATTATGCAAGCAATATTTTAATGAAATACGTGCGTAAACACGCCCGAGACGGATTGCATAACGCATCCTTTTTTCATCATACGCATAT